AAAAAAAAAAAAAAAAAGGGCATTCTGATCTGCTCAAAATAGCTTATTTTTCCTTCAGGAAATCTTCCTGTTCATCACCAGACAGTTAAAGGGACTAGAAGACACAAAGAGCCCCCAGTTCAACCGATACTTCTACCTGTTGGAGGTGAGTGCAGTGATAATGTTAACTGTGCATTGTTTAAAATATCCTGATGCATGCTCACATTGTTTAAAATGTTTGTCACTTTCAATCAGCAGCACTTCCTGCTAGTTTCACTCACATCTCTTCTCATTGACTGTTCAGGTTCAGAGCTCAACCACTTTGGCAGAAAGACAGTCCATCCCACCATTCAGTAGCCCTATTCCTGCTGATTTATTATTATTATTATTTTTTGTTTAATTTTAAACTCCTGCTTAAACAATATTTATAGTAAAGTCTTTTAAACACTGTTTATAAAAAGCTTTTTACAGCTTTGACTGTTTAAATGGCTTTGACCTGTTAACTTTGAGAAATTTCATTAAGCTATGCAATTATGTAATCATTTCATCTGTAATGGTGCTGAATGTTTTGTTACTGCTTTTGAAATTATAAACACAGTAAAGGTAACTATGCATTAAACATTTACTTCAAATAATTAAATGTTTAAGAAGAAATGTGTTGAGTAATGCCTCAATTCATATTTATGCTTAAAAAAAGTGCTTTTTTTCATACCAAGAGGTTCTAGAAATGTAGAAAAGGAATACCCTGCACTTGCAAATGCTAGAATCAAATTAACACTCTAAACTACAACTATTATCTACAGTCACTTACAGTACTTTCAGAAGGGTCAAAGTCCCATCACCAATCACAAGTTACCTTAAATTGATTTTTCTGTGATGAGGTGCAGCATTGCCAAAGTTTTCAGCTGATTTCTTGCTCTGGTTCTGCAGTAATCATCATAAATGACAGCAGTGCTGCCACCTTTACTGCTGGTAAAAATGAGGTCTACTTTAATATGTTTATTCATGCAGTACTTCATGATGTATATATTCCTGTTTCTGCTGCACAAAAACACCAAACTTTGTTCACTTACAGCTGAATCTCATGTTTGGTTTTATTTTATCTGCATTTTGGACTCTGAAAATATTATTTCAGGTTGTCTCACTGGCTCTCATTAGTGGAAGAAAAGGAGCAAAAAGAGTTTGGTTATGACAGCTCCTGCAACCGGATGACAAAATATACAATTTATTCTCTAAAAAGGCTAAATGCTTTTTTTTATTTAACCGAGACGATAGTTCTACGATTTAGCTAAAAAAACTTCAAATTCTGGCATCCAACATTTATTTATTTTTGTGTGAAATGGCTCCAAACATTTGACGTTTTTGATTTTTACATCCATTTTACTTTCAGAATGAAAATAAAAACGCTGAGCAATAAGCATTTTGAGTAGATTGAATCAAGCTTCAAGTCATAGTTTGCATCAAGAATTTTTTTTTAACCAAGAACTCTTCTGAATCCTTTCAGTTTTATTTCACTGCTAAGTTGTTGAACATTTCTTGTGTTGTCCACAGAACCTTGCATGGGTGAAATCATACAATATCTGCTTCGAACTGGAGGACTGCAATGAGATCTTTATCCAGCTCTTCAAAACACTCTTCTCTGTTATCAGGTAGGAAATTTGTGGCTAATTGCATATATCAAACTTATTTCTTTTTTTTTTTTTTTTTTTTGAACCAATGAGCTGCATCGCTGAAAACACTGATAAGTGAAGAGAATTGCGTGCATCTTCTCATCAGAATGCAAACTGACGTACTGCTGGTATGCAGCAGGTGAAGGAGGTAGCCACAATGCAGAACTGGCATCATGTGAGGGTGAGATCACTGAATGTGAGGCTCCGTTCAACAGTAATCTGTTCAACAAGTGATGGAGGGTTGTTCTGCCTCTGTTTGGAAGGTGTCTATCTCCAGAGAACTGCAGTGGCCGAACGACAGCCTTCTTCCTTTTTGTGCACTGCATTGTAGTGAAAATGGAGAAATCTTGTGCCTTTCCTGACCACTCTGCAAAAACTGTCCAGGAGAAATGATAGAGGCTCAGACAATTTTATTTCTGCCTCCAAATGTCCAGTTTTTGTCCTCTATCGAAAAGTAAAAAGGGGGAAATGCCCTCTGTACGTACATGTTGTGAGAATAACTCAAAACTAAGTGAGGTACTGACTTCCCTTTTGGTGTGTGACTGCATCTAGACATAAGAAAGTGTATTTTCAAAATTGAGTTGCCACATCAAAATCCAAGATGACCGCCACCTTGATCATTTGTGGAAGCTGTTTCCTAGTTTGTCCATTGATAAAAAGTATAGTTTCCTCAAATATCTAAAAAAGTTAAATCTGGTCCTCTGGACATTCAAAAAAACAAAACAAAAAAAAAAGTAGAAACGTTTCGTCTTTCATCCGACAGATTGTTTTGCTTTGTTTTGTTTTATTGAATGTCCAGAGGACCAGAATTAACTTTTTTAGATTTGTCTACCTCGATTATTGAGCATGCATCAGGATGTTTCCTCAAATAATTGTGTTAGTCAGTGGGGTGGCTGAAGATTAATTTATGGTGGTCAAGGCCACCAGTGGTACCCCCTGGCTCCATCATTGCACCTGGTGGTAGGTAAAATTGCTTCCTCCGCTTGCCAGAATCCATCACTCTGTGTTGGCTTGTGTAGATGAACATATGCATGAGATATATTCATAAATTAAACGGATTCTTTCATTTTTCTGGACTGTATATAATGTGCATTGAATTTAGAAATGCAACGTGAGACGTTAATTATCTTTGACTCACCAAACGACAGTGGGTCATTTATTAACAGAATCAAAGTTTAACACATCACACATTTACATTAATTGGCAAAATATGGAAAATAACAACATGGCTAATTTTAGCAAGCTGTACAATTTTGATTATCCACACGGCGGTGGATGAGAACTTTACACAGACATTTCTAAAATATCTGGAATGATTTCTACCTGATAGAAGAATTTTAAAGATGGAAAGATGAAGTTTAAAGGGAGAAAAAGATGGGTGAGGGGGTTTGTTTGTGTCAGCATTCAGGACGGCACTCTACGGGCTTTTCTCAGCTTCTTCCCCAGTACACTTAGGTGTTATAAATCAACTTTTTACCTGGAGATTGTCTCCACTGGTACGAAAGTCCATTCAACGCACCCTTTCACCGTCTCCGTAGGAACAGCTGTGAATCGTCCGAAGTAGTGACGGTATTCCGTCCGACACAGGTTCACCTCACGAGTGGACTTCACATGAGTGGAGTCCGTCAGAGTTCCACCCAGAGGTGGAAGATGTTATAATCCCATAAGACTCGGAAGAGCTCTGTGGTCATGTCAGGATCTTCCTGTTTCCCAGCACGGGAGCTGCAACGACTCCAACTCGACTCTCCACCCGACTCTCCTCGAAACCGGTTTGAACTAGGAAGTACCGACATTTTAAAGAGCTCTATTTCCGGTTCATTTGGGAGTTTCTGATTGGTCAATATCGACCAGACAGGGGTGTGTTTTGTGACGTAAGAGGTCACTAAATGTCAGAAAAACAGCAAGGATGTTATGGAACAGATTGAGCATGTTTTTAGAGACAGGGAGAGAAATGTTTGGGCGAGTTGGCGGAAAAACAGGTGCCAACAGGTGCCAGCTTCTCTATTTACGTCTGAGAGGATGTAAAACACGACAGCTCGTTCCAACAACTGGTCTGCGTTTGACTCCAACCTTGGACCACTTACACTTGCTCATTTAAAGACAGAAAATCAGAAAATGCATAATTACTCTGTAACAGACCTTAACATGAATTCTAACTTTGCATGAGGATTAAAAATCATTATTACTGTTTCACAGTTAATTAAAAATGATTAGTTCACTGCAACATCTAAAATGGTTTGAACTAAAAACACTTTGATTATCAACATTTGTAAAACAGTAATGATAATAGAAAAGAGAGTGTTCTTTCACTTGAATTTTCAAGAAAGAAAGTCTCAGGATGGGTCAACCTGTATTTCTGGATGCAAATCATTGAAATGACAAGTTCTGTCCCATATGATCCTTAAGGTCAAATCCTGACCTTAGGCTTAGTTCACTACACTTGTATAAGGAAAAATGAATAAAACTCCCTTGTACAACTCACCATGTTCTCCTCATTGTAACTCCTACCCATTTGAATATATTGCACTAAAAACATTAAGGTTTACTTTGTTTCCTGTTCAGTTCTAGTCCAGAAAAACACATCTAGAACTGCAAACTTTCACTGTTGAAATCTGTCAGCAACAGGGGACATCGGCGTATCGCTTGTTTATCCTATTCAAGCATTGCTCAGATGGCTCTGTGGTAGTCTTGAGCCACAAAGGCACCCCCCAGAAAGGTTTAGGACCCAAAGGATTTGCGTCAAACATGTGAATGCAAGTTTTTAAAGAGCTGTTCTGATGATGCAAGCAACACCTTGTCAGTATTAGACAGGTGGTTTTAATGTTGTGGCTAATTGTCTCCTATTTTTATTTGTTATGTCAAAAGAATTATTAAACCTATTTTTAAAATCAAATTATTGATCATGTTCTGCTTGTTTCACTGCATACTATGAGTTGGCATTAATGTTTTGGAGTTTCTTCCTCACCAGCAACAACCATAATCAGAAGGTGCAGTTGCACATGATAGACCTGATGAGTTCGATCATCATGGAGGGAGACGGAGTCACACAAGAGCTGCTGGACACAATCCTCATTAACCTCATACCTGCGCTCAAGGCAAGTCTCCAGAACCTCAGCAGTGTATGTTGTGTAGTTGTTGCACCATTCCTTTGTATCATTAAGGGTAAAGTTTGCTTTCGGGTGACGGGAAACATTTTGTGAGCTTCTCTTTTTCTATTTTACTAATGAAAAAAATACAACACTGTCAACACTCTGACCAGAAGCTCAGATTCTGTTTGTCTTTGGACTTTTTTTTAGCTTATTTGAAGTTAAACTAACTATCAGTGTTTGCTTGTAACAGAGCCTGAACAAGCAGGCCTATGATCTTGCCAAGATTCTGCTGAAGCGGACGGTCCAGACTATTGAGACCTGCATTGCAAATGTGAGAAGCATCTTGTTTTAATTTTATTTTCTCCATCATTTGTCTGTTTCTTCAGTTTTGTTTTATTTTTTTCTTAAAATATCAAGTTCAGTACTTTAACAATGAACTAAGAATTTAACTTTTAACTACTTTAGCGTACAGCTATTTCAGCCATTTGTAAATCAAAACGTTCAACTCGTTCTGGTCTTTATGGTTTGTTTGTTTTTTATTTGTTTTATTTAGGGTTTTTTTTTAGCTTTATTTACATTTTTCCCCCATAGAAGGCATCTTTGACATCTACTTCATTGAACTTCATTTTTAGTTTTTAGCTATGGTCTTGCTAATTTTAACTTTTAGGTACTGTTTTACTCATTTTTGCTTTTAACTACTGGTTTTAGTTCTTAGCTTTCGTGCTTCTAATTTTAGCTTTTGTTCATTTTAGCTTTTAGCTTTTATTTAGCTAATTTTGTCTTCTGTTTACTATGTTAGCTTTGTTTCTGATTGTTGTAACTTAAAACTATTTAGTTTCAGCTTTTCAACACATTTTCACTGAACATGTTTATTTTTGTGTATTCCCAGTTCTTTAATCAGGTTTTAGTGATGGGGAAGTCGTCAGTCAGTGACCTCTCTGAGCACGTGTTTGACCTCATCCAGGAACTGTTTGCCATCGACCCCATGCTGCTTACCTCAGTCATGCCTCAGCTGGAGTTTAAACTTAAGGTCAACACAACACTCACTTCTAAAAATAAAAAATAAAACGACACTCCGCACTTTATGTTTTTGTCCTTTAGATGTTAAGTTATGGATTCAAAACTATTTGGGGAGCTTTAACTAATTTTCAGCTCATTTTAGCTCGTTTTTGTCTTGGATCTGTGCTCCATTAGTAAAATGAAAATAAATTTTAAATCCAACTGTTCCTTTAAGATGTTTCCTATGCTGCATGAGTGAAGGAAAATAAATTCAGGGTTTAATTTTATTAACGCCTAAATTAAATGTGTGGGTTTTTGCTTGCAGAGCAACGACGGTGAGGAGCGTCTGGCTGTTGTTCGGTTGTTAGCAAAGTTATTTGGGGCCAAAGACTCGGAGCTGGCCTCTCAGAACCGACCACTGTGGCAGTGTTTCTTAGGACGGTGAGGAGCGTCAGCACTTTACTGAACATGTGATCGGGTGAATCACAGGGAGTTTATTCAGTGAGCCTGTCCTTGTATTTAAGAGCTAATAGGCCAAAAACAGGTAAACTGATAACATTAGCTAGCATTTATTACAGTAATTACAATTATTTTAGAAGGGGAAATCTGGTTTACAGAAGAAATGTACAGATGAGGATATTTGAGTCTTTTTTTTGTGTTTACCTTCACGTCAGCATCTAATGTGTCTGAGCTGATTTATGTGTTAAATCTCACAGTTTCAGTTAAATTCTTTACACGCATCTGATGCTTTCCTCCAGATTTAACGACATCCACGTCCCAGTTAGGCTAGAGTGTGTAAAGTTTGCAAGCCACTGCCTCATGAACCACCCTGACCTGGCACGAGACCTGACAGGTGGGCTTCAGTTCGTCTTTGTGGTTTTGTATCTCACATGGGTGTGTGAGTCTTTAACAGCAATGTGCTCGCACGTTCTTTGTTCAGAGTATTTAAAAGTGCGGTCCCACGACCCAGAGGAAGCCATTCGCCATGATGTGATTGTCACCATCATCAATGCTGGAAAGAAGGACCTGAATTTGGTCAATGACCAGCTGTTGGGTTTTGTACGAGAGCGGACGCTTGACAAGAGGGTAGGACGAATGTGTAGAAACACATCATGTACAAATAATAATCCTATGTACATCGTAGGAGTACAACAGTTTGTTTCTTAGATGAATCATTTCTGAGCAGCAGTTAGCACCGTTAGCAATCCTAATTAAAGTCTTTCCTCTTCAATCTGTTTTCCTCCCCCTTCACAAATGCCTTCTGTAGTGGCGTGTGCGTAAGGAGGCCATGATAGGCCTGGCTCAGCTTTACAAGAAGTACTGTCTGCACCACGAGGCTGGAAAGGAGTCTGCCCAGAAGATCAGCTGGATCAAAGACAAACTGCTGCACATCTACTATCAGAACAGCATCGACGACAAGTGAGAGCACACGCAAGATGGGACAGGATGTTTTAGATTTAAAGACGCAATACGCTTTGCGCAGGACAAAGATGTGTTTTGTTAAGCTATACACTATAGCTTAAAGGAAAAACACAACACAAGCTAAATTTATTAAGAAAATTATAGCAGCAAAATGTAAACCCTCTCCCTGCTAAAGATACACACGATCTTAATAAAAAAAGCGGCGCTGTCAGATGGATCTGACTGTAAGACTCTCCTCCAAAGGTTTATTTTATTTTACACTCATCAAAAGAACGTCCATCCATTCATAATTTTGTTTTTTTTTCTTGTCCGGTCCATAACTTCTGATCTGCTCAGCACATTTTAATGAAACTTTGTTCACGTATACATCATCACTAGCCAGAGTGTCACGCTTGCTTCATCATCCCAGCTTCATGGTTAAGGTCACAAATCAAGGTCAAATATACAAGGTCTTTTTTGTTTGGCTCATTGTTATAGATTGCTGTATAATCGTTTTGTAGATAGGCGTATAATGTGCCGAATGCGATGCTCTTGTTGTTTAATTTAATAATTTAAACTGGTTTTCCGGCAGGTTATTAGTAGAGAAGATTTTTGCCCAGTACATGGTCCCTCACAGTCTTGAAACAGAGGAGAAGATGAAATGTCTGTACTACCTGTACGCCTGCCTCGACACCAACGCTGTCAAGTTAGTATTCTTACATTTTCATCTCCCTGTAAAATATGCACAGCTTATTTTTTTATATTTTATACATAAATATTGACCTGTGTATTGATCCAGAAGCATTAAAGGTGGGTAAAATCTTAAGCCTATATCCGCTCACGACATAAAAACAAGGCATTAATGGGGCGGCGCGTCCGTATTATGAGGGCAGTGTATTGATTTTCTCTTGTTTTCTCCGTGTGTAATGGATCGTTGCTTTCAGGGCCCTGAATGAGATGTGGAAGTGTCAGAACATGCTCCGAGGTCTCGTCAAAGAGCTGCTCGATCTTCACAAGCTGCCGGTGGTGAGCGCGCGCGCACTGATCGTTTTAAACTTGTAGAAAGATGAGAATCCAAATGTGTTTATAACATGATTTTTCCTCTTCCTGCTAGTCTGAATCCAACAGCACGGCAATGCTTGGGAAGCTCATGAGCATCGCCAGTAAGTTCGATGTAAACCTGCAGTATTTGATTTATTTTTTTTGTTGTTGTAAGGTTTACGCTGCATCAGTGTAACCGACTTCCTTGTCTGATGCAGAGAACCTGCCAGATGCTGGGAAGGCCCAGGACTTCATGAAGAAATTTAATCAGGTTCTGAGTGAGGATGAGAAGCTCAGAGTCCAGCTGGAGGTGCTCATCAGTCCCACCTGCTCCTGCAAACAGGCCGAGATCTGTGTGGTGAGACGACGTTCTTTATTTCACTCTCCCACTTACCTTTCAAACACACATGGTGATGTTAGTAACGGGTCTCCTCCATCCTTCTGTGGTTTCCAGCTCTTATTTCACCCCAGATGAGCTCAAAGCTATGGTTTCTTTACAAATAATCATGAACTTTGCTAAAAAGCACGGGGCTAAAAACAGCTGTGAGAATAACTGCAGACTGTCCAATAAACCAGACTTTAGTGTTTAAGAATAAAAACTCAATTTTGTTTCAGATGAGAATAATCATGCTCTTGTCAGGCATCAATAATTAAAAAAAAACAAAACAATACTAATAAACATTAACGAACACAAACGTTTGACATTAGTTACATTCTATTTTTTTGTTTAAGCTTGTATACTTCGGTTTCTTTTTGACGATGAGGGGTAAAATATTTTAGTGGGCAGTTTTTTTTTTTTTTCACAAAACCTTGAGTTTTAAGAGACTTTGTATATAGAGACCTCATGGTGTAATCGCTGAAATATTTAAGCGGCTACAGACACCAAACGAAGCATAAACGCTCGTGTTTATTGTGTACTTTTGTGCAGAGGGAGATCACTCGGAAGTTGACGTTCCCAAAGCAGCCCACTAACCCGTTCCTGGAGATGGTCAAGTTCCTGCTGGAGCGGATCGCTCCGGTTCACATAGACTCTGAGGCCATCAGGTCAGAGAAACCTCCGGGGAGCCAGATTTTACTCTATTGGAACTTATTCAAGTCTGAATGGGTTAAAATCCTGTTAGTTAGATTGGATTATAGTTTAGATGTGTTTGGTGATTCTGTTCCTTCAGATTTAACTGCACAGAAGCTCGGTGTCTTTGATTTCTCAGCCACACAGTGTTTCGTGTGTTGTCTGTCCATTTTATCTGTTACTCTTCATCACTAAAAGGCTTTTGTCATTCATTGAGACACCTAGTGGTGGTGGTGTGTAGCTGCAGGCCTCAGTCTGGCCTCTTTAACCCTTTCCTCTTTATGGAAAAACACCCAGAGAAAGCAGTCTCACTCTGAATGACACACACCGTGTTCATAAAAGTCTGTGGGACTATTTGGTCTAATAAATGTTTTTATCTTAAGACTTTCAAACTGGCAGAAAACATGTGGATTATCTTGATATCACTATAATGTTGGTGATGATCGTTGTGTTTCGCCTCAGTGCATTGGTAAAGCTGCTAAATAAATCCATTGAGGGAACAGCTGATGATGATGAGGAAGGTGTCACGCCTGACACAGCAATTCGCTCCGGCCTGGAGCTGCTCAAGGTAAAAAAAAATAAACAAATGAAACAAACCCCGTTAATGGAACTGATAGAAAATCAGTTAAGACTGGATAACAATTAGTAAACCTTAAGGAAAAGTTTGTATAACCAATATAATGTTGGAAAATGACTGAATATCTCTTTGTTTTTAGGTCCTGTCATTCACACATCCCACAGCATTTCACTCAGCCGAGACCTACGAGTCTCTGCTCCAGTGTCTGAAGATGGAGGATGACAAGGTGGCCGAGGCTGCCATCCAGATTTTCAGAAACACTGGGCAGAAGATAGAGACCGAGTTACCACAGATACGATCGTAAGAGACCATGGTCTTTTGATGAACATCTTTATGCAGCTGTTCAGAGTTTATATTACAGGTGCATCGCAAATATTTAGAATAACGTGGAAAACGTTCAGTTGTTTTTGTCCAACATTTCAGAAAGTGTAACTCATGTTATATAGATTCAATACACACAATGAAACATTTCAAGCCTTTATTTCTTGTAAATGTGATGATTATAACTTACAAATAATACTGAAAACACAAAAGAAAGTTAGAATATTCCAGAGACAGCGGTTGATATCTTTGTCAGTGTGGGCCGGAGCCAAGTCCTTCTGGAAAAGTAAACCAGCATCTCCATAAAGTTCATCAGCAGAAGAAGCATGAAGTCTCTAAAATGTCCTGCTAGATGCTGGGTGGACTGTGGACTCCAGAAAACACAGTGGACCAGCACCAGCAGAGGACATGGACCCAAACCATCACTGACTGAAAACTTCACTCTGGACTTCAACAACATGGATTCTGGACCTCTCCACTTCCTCCAGACTCCAGAACTGACATGAAAATTTAATCTGAAAAGAGGACATTGGACCTCTGAGCAGCAGTCCAGTTCTTTGTCTCCTCAACAGATAAGACACTTCTAGTGTCTCTGGTTCATGAGTGGCTGGACATTTGTAGCTCATGTCTAAAAGTCAGCTGATCAGGGTGAGACACCAGGAGTTTATAATGAGGAACCTCTGCACGATATTCTCATTTTCTGAAACTCTGAATTTTGGTTTTTCATTATTTGTAAGTTAAAATCATCAAAATTACAAACAATAAAGGCTTGAAATGTTTCTCTCTGTGTAATGAATCTATGAGTATATATGTTTCACGTTCTGAAATGATTGACAAAATAAATTGTGCTTTTCCACGATGTTAAAAATTTTTTAGATGCACCTGAAGCTCTAAAAATATGACAGTGTATAAAATAAAACCCACAGCGTGTCTGCAGCATGTCTCATCTCTCTTTCATAGAAGTATTTAATATATGTTTTTTTTTGTTAGTATCAGTTTGAATGTTGGAAAATGGCTCCCAGGGAGAAGGAAGCTACCTCCAGAGACAAAACAACCTAAAGAGTGTGTGTGCTCGCCACACGCAGAGGCAGAAAGTCAGATATATGTCTGACTTGGTGTGGCACACAAATAGCAAGTGCAGTTTATGATGAATTTTTCCTCATAAACTGCCTGTAGGAGCAAGTCTTTAAATCTTAACAGGAGGCCTAATTATTTTTCAAATGGAGCCTAATTTTCCCTCAGAGCATCTTTAAATGTGTTGTGGTTAAAAATAACTTGTTAATCTATTTAATCAGTTTAAGTCTGCTTGCATCCTTTCAGGACAGAAAAATAACTTGTCAAGAAGTAAACAAATGCCTCCTTGTTTCCAGGATATATTTCTAAAATGAAAAGCTGTCTGTATATCTGATATAACTCCTGCAGCCAAATGTTTTACTTTTATATACACAATGAATCATTTCTTCCCCATCTTGTGCACAAGTCTGGAGTGTTAGCACAGACCTTTGCTGCGCCTGTTTGAACCCTTTGTGTGGTGTCATTCAGGACACTGATTCCCATCCTGCATCAGAAAGCCAAGCGGGGAACACCTCACCAGGCCAAGCAGGCCGTCCACTGCATACATGCCATTTTCAACAACAAGGAGGTGCAGCTGGCACAGATTTTTGAGGTGGGGAATTATTTTCAGATTATCTAACACAGTCTTTGTATTGAAGTGTGATTTTTATTTGTGTCAACTAGCCTTTTTTTCCCGCCCATGCTGCAACGTTTATTTACCAGGAAATGTTTGTTTTTTTTGTTCACAGCCTCTGTCGCGCAGCCTGAACTCAGACTTTCCAGAGTTGCTCATCACCCCGCTCGTCTCCCTGGGCCATATAGCCATGCTGGCTCCAGATCAGTTCGCCTCACCAATGAAGTCCATCGTGGCTAACTTCATCGTGAAAGACCTGCTCATGAACGACAGGGTCTGTGGAGCATTTAACACAGTTTACACACACTCAGTTCAGGTGGTAGTCGTCTCGCTCGTTACTTAGAGCAGAACGACCTTGTGTTGGTGAAAGGACTTGTGGGTCTTTTCTTGTGACTACCTTTTTATTTTTATATGCCTGTTGACAGACTGATGTATTATTGTATAATCTTTATTCATACATCTGTAAACTTTCTCTTGTCTGACTCAAAACTTCTGATCCTCTCAAGATAATTTATAATTTTTAATAAGAGTTGGTTCACAAACTGTACTCTGATAAACAGCTCTTGCTCCAAGGCTTTGGAGCAGCTAACAGTGAAATATCGACCACATTATCTACACCACAAGTTCACAGTGGCTTTCATAACAGATGTATATATATATATATATAGTTCTGGATGCTAATGCTAACGATGCTCTGCGGGAGCTTCATGATCATTTCAGCTCGCTGCAAAGCAAACACCCTGAGGCTCTTTACATAGTGGCTGGTGACTTTAATCATGTGAATCGAAAAGACTGCCTCCCAAAATTTAACCAGCATGTGGCCATACCAAGACGTAGAAACAACACGCTGGACTGTGTTTACTAGAGATGCACGGATCTACTTTTTCCGATACCGATATCTGATGTTTTGTGTCTGCCGATACCGTATCGGTCTGATACAGAAAAACAGTGCTGAATTCTGTTCAACAAACTCAGCATGCTCTTTAGAGTGAAATCTCTGGAGATGCTTGATTAAGTTGGTAGTGTTACAACTGGAAGTTTTAGTTACACCCCCTGGAACCGTTGCTGTGCACGTATTGCACGTAGCTGTCGAATGTGTTGGCTGAGGTAGTGTGAAGTAGTTCCAGATGGCTGATCCTTTCGCTCGCTCCATTTTGAAAACGATCTGTGCAGTGAGTTCGCTAGCGCGTGACGTCACTCAGAGCACAAAGTATAGAATTGGAGATCTGCCCAGTCATGGATTGGTCACATTGTGACCGATACCCTATCCAGAAGTTTTATCAATATCGGGACCTATACCGATATTGGTATCAGATCGGTGCATCTCTAGTGTTTATACGAACGTAAAAGATGCATACAAAGCCGAACCCCGCCCCCATCTAGGATTCTCTCATCACTATCTTTCTGGCTCCTGCTTACCTTCCCCCGCTGAGATGCTCCAGACTGGTACAAAAGAAAGTTAAATCTTGGATTCAGAATAGTGGCCCCATACTGAAGGATTGTTTTGAACAAACAGACCTGGAACAATACACATCCTCAGTTTTGGGGTACATTAGTAAATGTACTGATGACGTCACCACCATAAGATATGTGAAAAGTTACCCGAACAGAAAACCTTGGCTGAATACAGAGGTTCACACCCTGCTGGAAGCTAGGAACACTGCCTTCAGGTCTGGAAACGCACAGGAGCTGAGAAGGACAAGAGCTGGTTGCTGGTATTAAGAGGGCCAAGGCCACATATGCACAGAGGATCCAGGGTCAATTCACCTCACACGACCCACGGAGCATGTGGAGGGGCATTAAGTGTATAACAGATTATAAGGCAGAAGTGAACATCGCCCTAGAGACCCATCACTGCCTGATGCCCTCAACAAGTTCTACGCATGCTTTGAAAACCCAAACAGACCACCCAGCACCAGACTCGCCCCACCACCGGATGAAGAGCTTCTCCGCGTGACCTCAGCAGAAGTAAGGAGTACCTTCAGGAGGATTAACCCTCACAAAGCAACCGACCCAGACAACATCCCCAGGAAGTTGTTGAAATACTGTGCCAGTCAGCTCTGCGAGGTGCTGGCCAACATCTTTAACTCCTCACTTACCCTGACAACATTTCCCACCTGCCTGAAGACTGCCACCTTCATCCCAGTCCCAAAGAGCTCTACAGTGACTGGTCTGAATGACTATCGGCCAGTGGCCCTCACCCCGATAGTCGCTAAATGCTTTGAAAAACTGGTCATGACCCACATCAAAACACCCATCAACATCAACAAGGACCCTCACCAGTACGCATACCGCGAGGACCGATCAACAGAGGACGCCATTTCCTCTGTGGTCCACACTGTTCTCACCCACCTGGAACAGAAGGACTCTTGCGTCCGTACGCGCTTTGTGGACTTCACATCCGCCTTCAACACCATGATCCCCCAAATCCTGAGGGACAAACTACTCACACTAGGACTAAGCCCCTCCATTTGCAACTGGGTCCTAGACATCTTAACAAACAGACCGCAGTCAGTGAGGATCCACAACTTCTCCTCCTCCACCATAACCCTCAGCACTGGCTCTCCTCAGGGATGTGTGTTGAGCCCCCTCCTCTTTACTCTGCTCACGTATGATTGTGCACCTACTCAACCAGGCTGTCACATTGTAAAGTTTGCAGATGATACAGCAGTGGTTGGATGCATCACATCAATGTGAAGAAGACAAAAGAACAACACCCCCCACCCCAAACATAGGAGCATCTGTAGTGGAAGTGGTCTCCAGCTACAAGTACTTGGGTATATACCTGAATGACAACCTCAGCTGGGGCAACAACACCACCAGCCTGATCAAGAAAGCTCATCAGAGACTCTACTTCCTCAGACGGCTGAGACGAGCTGGTCTGTGAAGCTCAGTCCTCACCTCCTTCTACAGGTGTGCAGTGGAGAACATCCTGTGTTCCAGCATCAATGTGTGGCATGGAGGCTGCACAGCTGCAGAAAGAAAAGCTTTGCAGAGAGTGGTGAAGGCTGCACAGAAGACTGTCGGAGTCGGTCTCCTCACCATCACAGACATCTACACCTCCAGATGCAGGAAGAGGTCCACCTGCATCATGAAGGACCCCACTCACCCAGCACACACACTTTTTTGCCCTGCTCCCCTCAGGAAGGAGGTTGAGGAGCATTAAGTGTAGAACCACTAGACTGAGGAACAGCTTCTACCCTGAGGCTGTTAGACTCATGAATATCAACCAGGATAATCACTGTGAAAAACCACATCATGTTGCTGCTGATCTGTTTCATGTTGCTGCTGATCAGTTTCATGTTGATGTGTTCAGTCATACTTATCTGCTCACACAGACTCATATTCGTGCTGCTGTTCGGCATATTGTTTTTATTTTTTATGCTGTTAGTGCTTAGCATATTTTTAGTTGATGTTTTTCTTAGTTCATATCTTAGATCTTATTACTGTTTTTTATTTTACATTTTATTGTTGGATGTAACTGAGACACTGTGTACATAATCTCGTTCCAGTGGTGCGAACGACAATAAAGAATCTCTGAATAATTCATATGAATTTGTCAGTAAAATCACAGTCCATCACTAGAGAGTGTCACTTTTTTTATCACCCCAGCTCTAAGATCAAATATTAAACAAGATATTAGCTCGTCTGTGCCATTGCTATATATTGATGGTTTGCCGTATAATCGTTTGTTGACAGGCGTATAATATGCCGTATGTGGTACTCTTGTTAAATGTAATATTTAAGCATCGCAGTCCATCTCCTTTTACTGCAGTCTTTACTAACTCTATATCATCAGTAGATAACTTCATTAAAAAATGCAGATACACACACACTCAAAAGCATAAAAACATAATCTTTGTCTTTGTATCTTCAGACAGTGGGGAACAAAAATGGGAAGCTGTGGACCACTGATGAGGAAGTAGCTCCTGAGGTTTTAGCAAAGGTAAGAGACCCGCATACCTGTACTGTAAAGTACTTTGCAGTGTTAACCAACTGTATAAAATATTCAAAAAATGTCACAGATTTGAGTTAGTTTGCCTTTTTATTAATAATGGAGACGAAACACGTGTGAGTTTTCCTGTTCCTGCAGGTTCAGGCCATCAAGCTTTTAGTGCGCTGGTTACTAGGAATGAAGAACAATCTGTCCAAATCTGCGAACTCCACCCTACGTCTGCTGTCCGCCATGCTAGTGAGCGAGGGAGACCTCACCGAGCAGAAGAAGATCAAGTATCTTTCTATTCACTCTGAGACATGAAGTGTTTTGGGTTGTAGCCCTTCAATTTACCAGTGTAGTTATTTATTCCTCATTTTTATTTCTTCACAGTAAATCAGACATGTCTCGTCTGAGGCTGGCAGCCGGAGCAGCCATCATGAAGCTGGCACAAGAACCGTGCTACCATGAAATCATCACACCTGAACAGTTTCAGCTCTGCGGCCTTGTCATCAATGTTAGTTTCACCCTTAACCTCATGTTTTATCTCAGCGCTCTCTCGTTTAATAACTATTTAAACAGATGCCGGATAAAAATGTTGAGCAGTTAAAGCTTCAGTGATGAATGAAACCTGTTTCCTGGTGTTAGTACGGTGGAAAACCACCGTCAATCTTACATTTTCAGCAGATTTTTGCACTTGTCAGATCTGTGTACAATTTATTATATCTTAAAAGTAATTCTAAACATTTTCCTTTAGGTTGAACTGTTTAAAGTACTGTTTTTAGGCTCTAACTTTGCTGGTGCCTGACAGGATGAGTGCTACCAGGTCCGCCAGATCTTTGCACAGAAGTTGCACTTGGCTCTCGTCAAACTGCTGCTGCCCCTGGAGTACTTGGCGGTCTTCGCTCTGTGCGCCAAGGACCCGGTGAAGGAGCGGCGCGCCCACGCCCGACAGTGCCTCCTCAAAAACATCTCCGTCCGCAGAGAGTACATCAAACAGAACCCCCTCGCTCAGGGTCAGTTTTCAACCTCAGAGTGTTTTTTGTACCGAAACCGGACAGGTGTTGTAACCAAACATCTCTGTGTAAAAAGACCAGTGCAGCACTTCTGAGAAAGTAAAATTGTAGATCCACAGAATTTTACACGCCACAAGAAGGAGGAAGAAGTGGATCTTTATCGAAATAAGTTTCCAAAACCACCTTATAATAAATGCTGCACAGAGAAAAGTTAAGTTAAGTTTTTAGGAGCCTAAACAGATAAATAATTAATATTTTTTTATATTTTATAGTAATTTGGCTGCTGTATATTTTATTTTGAAAAGAAAGAAATGACCACTTCTGTTTGGTCCTCTTTCCTACGCTTGACTCATCTAAATGCTAACACTAACAAAAATGAGTAAAAATAACTCGCTTCCCCTCTAGTCCACGAGAAAGTAGTCTTGTATGGAACCGGTCCGTTTGGAAACTGCTGTTATAGACTGTAAATAACTTCTAAAACCAGACAGGTGACCCAGACCACCTGGTCTGCATACTAATGAGGTTTAACAATGACTTGTTGTGAATGGGTACGTTGCTGCAGCTGATCTTTTTGTCCCTGTTGCAGAAGTGTCACACTTTTATACAAGCACACCAAAATTATAAAACTTGCTCCAAGCCAAAGGTCCATATCAGTTAATATTGCTTGTAGAAATGTAGAAATAATCTTTGTTTTTGTAATAAGTGGATATATTAATCTAGAAATACAAACTTATAGTTTCCAAATGTCATTAATGTAGAGTTTAGGACATGCATAACCTAATGATCAAAGCAAAAAGGATTTACATTTATTTCCAATGTCTCGCTTTCCATCAGCTACTTTTTATCTATTATTTCTTTGCAATTTACTTTATCACAATTAAATCAGTAAAGAAAAGAAAACTCACAAAAAATAAGACAACAGAACTTTATTGATCCCGCAGGAAATGTTGTGCAAGACTTTCAATACAAAGGAACATACACAAGGACTTACACAAGATATAAAAATACCAACAATTAAGGTCTAAAACAGGTCAGGTGCAGACCGAAACATTAAAGAGTTTATTTTGGTGCAGGATTAATTTATTGTCCTATGTGTAGAAAGGGGGAGCGGTTGAAAATAGCCACAGGGAGGAAGAACTTCCTGTGTTGTTCTGTGGAGCACCTCGGTGGTCTCAGTCTATGACTGAAGGTGCTTCAGTAAGAGTCCAGCGTGTCATGAGGGGGTGTGACGTGTTGTTCAGGATCTGGAGCAGTTTCCTCAGCATCCTCTGCTCAAGACACCTGTCAGAGACTGCAGGTCCACTCCCAGAACTGAGCCAGCTCTCTTGATGAGTTTATCGAGTCTGTTGGCATCAGCTTTCTTCACTCTGCTCCAAACCATTTTGACATTAAATTAAGAGGAGAATTCAGTAAAACAGACTCTTTGCACGTCAAAAATCAAAGATTACTGAAAAAGTCCAACATATCTTAGTTTACCTGGCTGTCACGAGAAGTCTGCTCTGAGCATGCTCAGTTATTTATTAAAGCATAATGAAAAGACCGTCTCAAATCTAAAACTTTTAAAATATCTTGGGGGTCCAGATAAAATATTGAAGAGGGCCAGAAGTGGCCTGCGGGCCTTCAGTTTGACACGTGCCCAGTTGAAATCCTTAAATATAGCATTACGCTGCTGTACGGTTAAATGCAGACTAACATTTCATGTCATTTCATATTTTTAATCTCAGTCCAGTTCCTCGCTGGTTTGAGGATAGTTATCAACTCATTGAGAGAAAATAAGTTTTCTGTTGCAGTCCCACTGAATTGATTGTTTTCCACTAAGTGAGAAGTGAGCTGCGTTTTGAGCAGCTATTTAAAAGAAAAATGGCAACCCATTTTTACGTGCACAGTTTGTAAAACCGTATTCTTGTCTGTGCACTCTATTGCTCCCTTGTTTATTTTCCAGGGAAACTCTTCTGGCATGCCAGGAGGCAATTTTTGACCAGGTTATAAAACACATAATAATCCTTTTATCATTGGTGTGACATTTGGACCTGGACAAACGTCCTGTATGTGGCCGTCGTAAGGAGAGTTCCTGTATGGACGTCAAGTTCCGGCTCTAATGCTGCAGAGTTGCAGAGAAAAATTGGATAAATTAGGGTTTGAGACGGCCGCGCCAACTTGTTGACCACTTCGTACAAAGCTCCTGAGCTCGAGCGTTAAAGACTGCAGGCCTCTGACTTGGGCGAGGAAAATAAGAACCCAGACATTTTAGGTTTTAAGACATTTTGGAGATGCCCTCATTAATGATATTTTCCAACAAACTGCAGATGCAGAGAGACGAGCAACAAGATCCTACAGATTAAAACCCAGTCTGAAGTCTTCACTGACTCAAAACAGCAGAAGTGATTAAAGCATGATCTTTAAGGAGCATAACAATCAGATGTTTACATTTGGAGCATGCTTATTAACAATTATTGTCTCGTAACATTTGTTTGCTTTAGTTTGGAGTTCTCTGTGCGAGTTTATCTTTTATTTCCTTATTTTAAAGCTTTTGTCTTCCTCATCAGAAAAACTCATGTCTCTTCTTCCTGAGTACGTGGTTCCCTACATGATCCACCTGCTGGCCCACGACCCAGACTTCACCAAACCCCACGAGTACGAGCAGCTCAAAGACATCAAAGAGTGAGTGTGATTTATTGTATTACGATGACATCGCTGTGATGCAGAGCTTCGTTAAGGTGCACGCTCTGTTTCCTTTAGGTGCCTGTGGTTTATGTTGGAAGTCCTGATGACCAAGAATGAGAACAACAGTCACGCTTTTCTCCGAAAAATGGCAGAGAACATCAAACAGACAAAGGATGCTCAGTGTCCTGAGGATGCAAAGGCCAATGAGGTACGCATCACGTTTGGTGCTCTGGTTTCTATCACTTTGTTGCACTGCTAACCCCAGTCTTTGACCACATGCCACGTTTTAAGCTCAAACGCTAATTCTCAAATGGTCTCACCTGTGCTTCTTGTGACCTCTACAGAAACTGTACATCGTTTGTGACGTCGCTCTCTTTGTCATCGCCAACAAGAGCACCGCGTGTCACCTGGAATGTCCGAACGAGCCGGTTCTGCCCTCAATTTTCTTCATCGTGCAAGACAAGGCAATAAATGCACACATTTACAGATGTTCTTCTTTTTAAGTTGTGTAGAAAATACTGACTATTTGATCAATCAGCTGACTATTTCAAAATATTTATCTGCATCAGCCACACATGAAATACATGAGCTAATTAAAAGACAGGCATATCTGTGGGCAGCACAGCGTTTTATTATTTGTGTTGATGCATTTCCTGTGACGGGAGTGCATCTTTTTTTGTCTTTTTCTTTTTTTATCTACAACACTGACAGTCCCCCAAAACTGTCCAGATGTAGATTTTGTAGTTGTACAACTAATAACTATATATATATTTTATTTATCTTTTTTAAATCAGGACTTTAAAAATGATAAGGAGTACCTGACAGCAGAGATGAGACAAATGCTTCTCACCGGGAAGGTAAATATACAACAGATATTATTGATATATTTGCCATAGTCCAGGTTTGAATTGAACAACATGGTTTAATTTCATGTAGTGAGAGAATATAGGATGAATAAAACCAGTTTTTTTATGAATTGGGGAGTACCGTACGAAAGGTATTTTGGTTTTGCAGCCTAAACCAGCTCCGGTGTTGGCAGCTGTCAACAAAACTCTGACGGTACCGGGCAGGAGGATCTTCAAAACCACCACAGCTTCAGACACAACCAGTAATACCAGCACGAACTCGTCTCCGCTCAGCTCAAACGTCAACAAGAACAGGTGAACACACGCACCACACAGCTGTTGTGTTGTAGCAAAGTCTGACAATTAATGAATTTTTATTTAAATGTGTCAAGCACTGCCACGGAGTCATCAGAAAGTCCAGCGCAGGAAAACAACGAGAACCCAGTCATCAAAAACGAAGAGAAGAAGGTAAACTTCAACAAGAGTCGAGTCTTTTCCAACTTTGTGAGTCGTTTCTTTTATGCAGACTCTGCATCTTTCAGGATGTGTCCAGTCAGAAGGCAACTCCCGATGCTGGGACAGAAGCGTCACCTGTCAAACGACGGGGCCGCCCTCCTAAAGCTGCTGCTGCTTCGACGGCGACGGAAAAAGCGAGTGGGTCCGGCAGGGGCAGGAAGAGAGCAACTGACGCATCTGCAGACGCAGTCAACGCCAAGACGTCAAAACAGCAGCAGAACGATGAAGGGACGAAGAGACAGATTGATTTGAGACAGATTGATCTGAGACCAATTGATCTGCAGAGGTAAACTGGGGAAAACAAGACAAGTCGCGACAAAACTTTAAAAATACACCATCTGGGTTGCCTAGCCTCTTGTAACTTACCATACCATACCATTTTATTTATAGAGCACTTAAAACAGCGACAAGGCCAACCAAAGTGCTGTACAGACAGAAAAACAGGCAACACACAAAGCAATATACAAAATGAAGTAAATCAGAAATATAGACATAAAAACGATGCAGATAATGACGACAAACCAGTGTGGAGCATACAGGATCAAAACACAGATCATCTGGTGTTGAAAGCTACTGAATAGTAGTGAGTTTTTAAACGGGACTTGAAAACCGAGAGGGAGGCGGCCTGTCTGACAAGCAGAGGTAACTCGTTCCAAAGTCTTGGTCCTGCTACAGTGAAGGCCCTGTCACCTCTGCGCTTAAGACGAGTTCCTGGAACTGTGAGGAGCAACTGGTCCGCTGACCTCAGGGAATGTGGTGGGACATACGGTTTTAGCAGATCAGAGAAATGGGGGAGCAAACCTGTTCAGTGATTTGTAGACATACAGGAGTATTTTGAACTGGATTTGAAGGTGAACCGGTAACCAGTGCAATGAGGCCAAAACTGGTGTAATGTGCTCTCTTTTGCCTGTACTGGTTAAAAATCGGGCTGCTGCATTCTGGACCAGTTGTAGTCATGCAATGGAGGTCTGACTGATACCAAACAGGAGGGAATTGCAGTAATCAAGCCTAGATGTAATGAATGCATGTATTACTGTCTCCAGGTTATTTTTGGACAATATGGGCTTCAGTTTAGACAGCCGCCTCAGTTGGAAGAAACATGATTTAACAATCATGTTTACGTGATTAAGTTTCAGGGAAGGGTCCATTATCACGCCCAGATTAGTGACTCTTTTGCCCCTTTTCCATTAGTACCGGTATGGGCCGACTCGACCCTACTTGGCCCGGTTCTGAGGCTTTTCCATTAGTACCGGTACTTAGCACCTGTTACTATTTTCAGTACCCTTGGCTCTGTGGTTCTAACCGGTACGAAGAGGTACAAAAACGTGACGTCAGTACACTGTCGGTCACTGGTTGGTCGGGGGCGGAGTCGGGGGCGGAGTCACTGGATCCTTCAGAAACGTTTCAAAACAATAATCCGCCATTTGCAATTTCTCGGACTGGAGCAGCCTGGACTTATTTTAAAGATTTTAAAAACAATACTGACAACATCTTGGTCTAATGTTGATGTGCTGGCATTTTTTGTGCTTGGTGGCCGACAACATAATTCAGAGCAAGCTGGATGGAGCTCTGCTGGTGTACCCGATCCTCCCTCCGGAGCCTCGGAGCGCCAGACCGGGCAGGGCGTCATCTCCCCGGCTCCAAGTTCAGCTGGTCACCGCGGAAGATCCTTCGATGTGCCGACTCGGAGGCTCGGGTTCCAGATACCAGCCTTGTGTGCTCAGAGCTCCGCTGGTCACTGCGAAGCTGGAGATGGGGACTCGCAGATGGACGTGGCCAGACCCCGGCCGCGCGTAATCATGAAGGCTGAATCCCGATCCCGCCAGGCGGACTGGACAGTCTGGGACGGACGCTGGAAGCGATTTTTAAATAAAATAACATTTTGTTTTTATACAAAAAATGTTTTTAAAAAAATGCTGAAGCGATTTAAAAATAATAATTTTTTTTTTTTACACGTAAAAGGTTTTTTAAAATCGCTTCCACCGTTCGTCGCAGACCCGTCTCTGCCCGCCTGTCTGCGCGGGTCGAGCCTTCATGATTACGCGCGGCTGGAGTCTTGGAACAGCCTCTGGAGTCACCAGCAGAGCTCGGAGCTGGGAAGATGAGCCTCCCAGCCTCCTCCTCTCCGGAGGAGAGGATCGTGTGACTGCGGGCAGTGTCGTGCGAGACCAGCAGAGCGTTGAAGATTTAAAATAATAAAAAAAACGGTGCCAGCTTCATCATGAAATCCTGTTTTCACTTTAATGACTGTTAACTCAGCTGAAAATCATAAAAAGACACAAAACTATTGGATCTCAGGGATATTTCCCTCAAACATGTTTAAAGAAAAGAGACGACCTTCAGTTCAACTTTATTTTAACTCACGAATGTACAAATCACAAAACAAGAACTTTAAAGCAAAACTAAAAATAAAATGTATATATGTGAACAAGAAAGAAAACCACACATTAAAAAATGAACATTAAAAGTAGACACAATGAGTGCAAATACATCAAATGATGATGAAAACCTATAAAAATTTAAATGTAATGTTTTTGTAGAATCTGCTTCATCAGAGTTTTAATTTATATACATATATATATTTATATCTATAAATAAATATAGATAAATATATATGTATATATATATAAATACATATATATGTATATAAATATATACGAATATATATAAATACATATATATGTATATAAATATATATGAATATATATAAATACATATGTATATAAATACATATATGTATATAAATACATATGTGTATATATATATACATAATTGTGTGTATATACATATGTGTGTGTGTGTGTGTGTGTGTATATATATATACACACATAAATCTATACACATGTGTGTACATATATATTTGTGTGTGTGTGTATAAATATATATATATATATATATATATTTATTTATACACATGTATACATGCATACACACATACATGCATACATACACACAACTTCAAAATAACATAAATTCTCAACCTGTACTGAAAACAGTTTCTGCGTCTCAGCGCCACCAGCTGGTGAGAGGCCGTGACTTCAATTTGAACCCCGCCCACTGGAACCGGTACTGAAAGCATAATGGAAACACAACCTGTACCGTACCGAGTAGAGTAGAGCTGGGCTGTACCGGCCCGTACCGGTACTAATGGAAAAGGGGCATAAGTTTTTCTGACAGGGTTAGAGCGGAAAGGTCAATGCAGTGGTTTGTGATCGTGTCAATGGGAGGGAACAACATGACTTCAGACTTCTTTTCATTGAAACTTAAGAAGTTTAAAGCCATCCAGTCCCTGATGTCAGCCAGGCAGTCGAGAAGAGGTTGAATAGAGCATGTACCATTGTGTCTTAGGGGGAAGTAAATTTGACAGTCATCGGCCTAGAAGTGGAAGGGCATGTTGTGTTTCCGGAAAATGGCACCAAGCAGCAGCCGGTATAAAGAGAATAAGAGGGGACCCAGGATGGACCCCTGTGGAACCCCCATTTAAGCAGAACTAAAATCCTTGATGGAGACACAAAAGGATCTGTCAGTGAGGTAAGATCTGAACCAACTGAGGGCTGATCCTGTGACGCCCACCCACTGCTCCAACCTAGCAATGAGGATCTCATGGTCGATGGTGTCAAAGGCGGCTGTGAGGTCCAACAGGACAAGCAGCACAGAATCACCGGTATCTGTGGATCTGAAGATGTCGTTAAAGACCTTCAGCAGGGCAGTTTCAGTGCTGTGGAGAGGTTTAAAGCCAGATTGGAAAAGCTCTAAGATGGCGTGATCCTCCAGGAAGCACTTCAACTGGGACTCGACTATTTTCTCCAGTACTTTTGAAACAAATGGGAGTTTGGAGACAGGCCGGAAGTTGGAAACAAGTGAGGGGTCAAGGTTTGGTTTTTTCAGGGGAGGCAGGACAGCAGCTTGTTTAAAGGTTTTTGGCACCACGCCAGTGGATAAACTACTGTTTACTATAGCAAGAATGGACGGACCTAGAGTTGGAAAAACCTCCTTTAGTAGTCGAGGGGGAACTACATCAAAGGGGGAACCAGAAGGTTTCAAGCTGCACATGACCTGCTCTAGAGAAGATAGAGTGATGGGTTCAAAATGGTCAAATGGAGCTACAGATTGAGGTGGGATGGATGGGTCATGAGTTGGAGGGGAAATGAGAGCCCGGGTGGTCGCAATTTTTTCCAAAAAGAAATGTAAGAGGTGGTCGCACAGCTCAGTCGAGGCTTCCAGAGGTGATGGTTCAGTGAGGTGGAGAACAGAGTTTAGGGTGGAGAAGAGGACACATGGGTTGTGAGACTTTGAGGTTATGATGTCAGAAAAGTATTTGGATTTAGCAGCTTTCACTGCTTTCTGATAACGGCGCCAACTCTCTTAAGTATTTGGAAAGAGACCTGCAGCCTGTCTTTCCTCCATTTGCGCTCCGCCCTCCTACATTGTTGCCTAACGGCCTTGGTGACGTCACTCAGCCAAGGTTCTGCTCTGAGTTTTGATTTTTTGGTTTTAACAGGAGCGACATGATCCAGAGTCTTTAAGCAGACAGAGTTGAACTGGGATGTCAGCTCCTCAGTGGTGGAGAGAAACACTGGGGGCTGAATGATCATTTCAGAGTTATAAGCATCTGCAAGCAACTTGGCAACTTAGTCTGATTAGCTAGACTCAGGAGAACTGAAAGCCTTAGATGTGTCCTTTATTTTCTTTTTCAGCAGGCAGTATCTTGTAAACAGAGAGAATAAAGCAGGGAGAAATGTAGGTGCAGTTGCCTTCCTTGTCCCTGACAGTGAGGGTGAGACTGAGATGAAGCTGGAGTTCAGCTCAGGAAGAGACAGACCCCTCCTCATGCAGGTACAGGCCAGCTGTGAAACCTTGTGCAGCCAAAGACATGCCTGGTCTTCACAGATGAGATGATCCTCTGACTGGCCGGGAGGCACCGTCAGTGCAGGACCCGTATGGAAAAGGCTAAACGCAAAAAAGCTTCATAACTAGCTGCAACTGGTGGGAATCTTTAGGCAGCTCGTGACTTGATTTATGATTCGTCAATTTTATTTATAAAGCACATCTGAAACAGCAGCTGGTACTTAACAATAAGATCAAGGCAGTAAAAAAATATGTAATTAAAAGCAACAAAAATAAAAACACAAAAACAATGAGAAACAATGAAATAATAGATCACACTGTGTTAAACATCAGTGAATACAGGTGTGTTTTCAGGAGAGATTTAAAAGCAGGGGGTGAAGTGGCCTGTCTAATGTTGGGGGGCAGATTGTTCCAGAGTTTAGGGCCAATGAGTGAAAAAGCCTGATCTCCTCTGAGCTTCAACCTGGTTTTTGGTACAACCAAAAGCAGATGATCAGATGATCTCAGCACCCGAGAAGGAACATAAGGTTGAAGTAGGTCAGAGAGAGATGAGGGTGCAAGGCCATTAATGCACTTACAGTTCAACAAGAGAATTTTTAAATAAATTCTGACACGCACAGTGAAGGGAGGACAAAACTGGTGAAATGTGCTCAAACCTACGAGTTCCTGTTAAGATCTGAGCTGCAGCATTTTGGACAAGCTGGAGATGTGAAAGGACACCTGACTCACCCCAACATAAAGTGTTACTGGGTTGTAATTAATGCATGGACTATTTTTTTTCAAGGACAGATCTGGTCAACACGAACTTAAGCTTAGCTACTGTATCTGCCTTATCTGGAAGAAGCTTTTTTGTAAAACAGTTAATCTGTTTATTAAACTTAAGGTCAAGAGCCTAAAACCATCCTGAGATTCATAACAGACTACTTAAGATGTGTCTGAAGAGAGTCAAGATTTACAGGATCAGAGACAGCGGTAGATCTAGGGCTAAACACAATGACTTCAGCTTTCTAATCATTAAAACTTAAAAAAATTGAAGCCATCCATGCCTTGATGTCGAGACATTTTAACAGAGGGTAAATGGAGCAAGAACTGTTGGGTTTTAAGGGCAGATAAATCTGACAATCATCACCATAACAATTAAATTAAAGGCCATTCCTTAGGATAGACCCCAAAGGGAAGCAGTGGACTGAGTCTGGAGTAGAAACATCCAGAGCCACCATGCAGACATGTGCAGGAAATGGGCTACAGGTGCTGCATTCCCCAGGTCAAGCTACTCTTGAACCAGAAACAGCGGCAGAAGTGCCTGACCTGGGCTACAGAGAAGCAGCACCGGACTGTTGCTCAGTGGTCCAAAGTACTTTATTCGGATGAAAGCAAAGTTTGCATGTCATTCGGAAATCAAGGTGCCAGAGTCTGGAGGAAGACTGGGGAGAAGGAAATGCCAAAATGCCAGAAGTCCAGTGTGAAGCACCCACAGTCAGTGATGGTCTGGGGTGCCATGACAGCTGCTGGTGTTGGTCCACTGTGTTTTATCAAGGGCAGGGTCAATGCAGCTAGCTATCAGGAGATTTTGGAGCACTTCATGCTTCCATCTGCTGAAAAGCTTTATGGAGATGAAGATTTCATTTTTCAGCACAACCTGGCACCTGCTCACAGTGCCAAAACCACTGGTAAATGGTTTACTGACCATAGTATTACTGTGCTCAATTGGCCTGCCAACTCTCCTGACCTGAACCCCATAGAGAACCTGTGGGATATTGTGAAGAGAAAGTTGAGAGACGCAAGACCCAACACTCTGGATGAGCTTAAGGCCGCTATCGAAGCATCCTGGGCCTCCATAACACCTCAGCAGTGCCACAGGCTGATTGCCTCCATGCCACGCCGCATTGAAGCAGTCATTCATGCAAAAGGATTCCAGACCAAGTATTGAGTGCATAACTGAACATGATTATTTGAAGGTTGGCGTTTTTTGTATTAAAAACAATTGTCTTTCATTGGTGGGATGAAATATGCTATTTTTTTGGGACAGACATTTTGGGTTTTCATGAACTGTATGCCATAATCATCAGTATTAAAACAATTAAAGACCTGAAATATTTCAGTTGGTGTGCAATGAATCTGAAATATATGAAAGTTTCATTTTTATCATTATGAAAAATAATGACCTTTATCACAATATGCTAATTTTTTTAGAAGGACCTGTATAATCACACTTAATGACACAAATCCAGAGCACAGAACCTCTATGATCTTAAAAAAAATAATAATTTGCTCTATGCCGCAGCATAGAACTATGACGATCATAGGAACTAAATTAACAACAGTAGTGACACGTGGCATCACAGATCAGAGCTCTTATCCGCTCTCTGTGTTTTCATGACTTGGTTTTGGTCCCGTTGTGAAGCTGTTCATGTTTCATCACATCAAACTGCTTTTCATCCACTAAATGTGAACTTGTGTGATAAGTTTCAACTGACTTTGTAATTCACTTGGACCTTTCTTGAGTTAGGTGTGTTACGTTACTCAAAGGTCTGAAGCAGGCTCTGGAACAAATGCGCACAGTACTTTTGCAGGTTTATTGTACATATAAGTGAAAATCACAAACTCACACGATGTCTGCCCATTTCACCCGAACAGACCCCGTGTAGAGAGCACTTCACACTTGCCTTCAGAAACTGGTCACACCCCTTGGCGTCATCATCCCCCCTCATAGGACAGCCTACCCTTACCCACGTGACCACCCTCAGCCAATAATACTTCCATCCTTGATGTAAGCAATCGTTTTTTTTTTTTTTTTTAACAGTCAGGCTTGTCATTCTCCGATCTGTTACAAAAGCCGATCCGTAATGTAGCTCATTTGCGCGTAACTGCAACTCCTTCCTACCGGAAACAAAAGCTCGGAAGCAAAGGTTCTGCATCGTTTTAACATGCATGCAGACCATAGGTGAACACAACTTTCAGTAACATGACAAATATATTTCAGGTGTAACTCCGTTGCTCGTTCGTTGGTCCTCTCGTTAGCTTCAGATGTTTCTTCTGCCTCCTCGTCGTCTCACGTCATGTTCTTTTTAACTTCATAGAACCTGCACGTCGGGGAGAAAAGGGCTCGTTTTTGCGCTTGCTGGCTGTCATAACTTACAGAGGCAACCTCAGGACCTGAGCCATTTATCAACTCTTGCCTGTTTCATGGGTTTGTTTAGCTTCATGTATCCATTAGCTCTGAGTCTACAGGGGGAACGGGAGAATAGTAAATGGTTTGCTGACTCTGACGTTGACCTGCGTTGTTTTTCAGGTAAAGAAAAGACTGGCGAAGATGAAATCCAGACTGCAGAGAACGGACCAGAATCTTCCTCACACCTTCCCAGCTCTCTACGTTCAAGCTCCTGTGACTCTTCAAGCTTTCTTGGAAATATTATGGACCTTTCTTAAAACAAATATACAAACACGTACACACGCGCACACACACTGACATCCTAGAAGGGTTAAAACATCTTGTAGTCATCGATTGAAGCTCTCTGTATGTAGGTCTTACTCAGAAACATATTTTTCCTTTGTGTTTGTTGCTCTTTGCTTCTTTTGTGGAGCCATTTTTAAGAAAAAAAAAACTACAGGATGGACATTTTACAAACGTTTTAATCTGGTAATGATTGTTGCTTATTAAATTCCCTGGGAAAAATCTTTTTATCGAGTTCTGACGTCTTCCTCCTTGAGTCTGCTCCTCACACTTTTACTTTCAGCTCCACACTGAACACGTCTGCACAAACTCCCAGGAGTTCACATACGAAGCAATAAAATGCAGCTCCAGTGCTCTAGAATTATAAAAACCAGAGAAATTGTATTTCCTGTGAAAATGAAATGTGAATGTTTATTGCTGAAGGGAGTGAAAAGGTTTCAGTGCTAAACAACGTGAGTTCAGTTTGAACAGCTGGGATTTGCTGAAAGCAGAAAAAAGATGAGTAGAGCAGAAAAGGCCTGAAATTGGCACAAATGTAGCTGAAAATAAAGTTTACAGAAGAACTGAGAGAAAGTTGAAATTATAACGCAAAAAAGGGATGAATTAGCAGAAAAATACTTGAATTTGCTCAAAAAGCTGAAATTAACAGGAAGTTGGAAGGTGCCGAAAAAGATGAATCATAAGAAAAGCTGACATGAGCAGTAAAGGTTTAAATTGTTAGAAATTAAAAGAAAAGGTAAAAAAAAATTTAAAAATGTCCAGGTAGAAGCCGACATTTTCAATGAGGAAAACATGGCCGACAAAGCTAAATATCTCGTTAAATAAAAATTACACTCTTAGTCACTTATTTTAAATACCTTTTGATTGTTCTAGAATTGCGCCACTCAAAGTGGCTGCATGTTGGAGCAGCTCTGTTACTTTAGTCTGAGATTTTGGTTTAATAAACTTTAATTCCTCTTTTTCTGGATGTAGATCACATTTTTTGGATGATTGTTTCCTCTGGTATCAGATGCTGTGCAGCTGGAAGGATTTTTACTGAAACTTTGGTTTTGGACATTTGTTATGATGTGTATCCATGGCAACAAGGCAGTTTTCTACAACCAACAGCAGCTGATTAACATCTCAAAAGCTCAAATATCATCTCAACTACAGCCCCAAATCTCAAATGAGTTGAAAGGATGTTCTGTGGATGCATTCTCATCTACCTGCCAGCTGTGCTCGAGTGCCTGACCACTGAGATCCTGGAACTACCAGGAAAAATGGCTCATGACAGTGGAAGGACAGGATCGTCCCTCAGCACCTACAGTTGGCTGTCCGCAGCTACGAGGAGCTCGGCAGACTGCTGGGAGGAGTGGTCATCGCTCTGGGAGGAGTTCTGCCCGGCATTCTGGCGGTCCTACAGCCGGGGGGAACCGAGAGGCCAGCCGAGTCTGGGTGATGGATCGGACGGCATCTGCAGCCAGTTTCTTAGGATCCACTGTGGGATGGACCTTTACAAGAGATCCTTCCTGTCTACAACCATCAGCATCTATAACATATCTTAATGAAATGAGGATAACGAGTTACAACAACAAATAATTTCCCTCTGGGATTAATAAAGTATTTGAATTGAATGTTCATAAATGAACAGTTCTGTCATCTACAGGCGGTCTCTGAAACAAAGTATGATTTTATTTACGCCTGTCTTGAAGTGGACTTGCTGCAGTATGGTTTGTACGTTCAGGAACTTGTCTCCATCACAAGTTCTGATCCGCTCAAAATAATGTCGACCTTCACCCATGCATCATCAGTGTTGTGTGCACTGTTCACCTGACGGGTGTGCGTCTTGTGCACGGTGCTCCTAACGTTAAAGCCCTTGGAGTTTACGTGACGCTGCAGTAAACCTTTCATCATTTAAATACCAACCAGAACACTTTGACACGCTTCAGTGCAATGTTCAGAAACAGGAGGACAAGTTTTCTTTTTTTGTTTTTTAATCAAAGAAAACACGACATTGTCACAATAAATAACCATGCTCATGCTCTTTGCACTGCTGATGCCTCCAGGAAACAGAAACGAGTCTCTGTCCAAACAGTGACTTGATGCAGCAGCCCCTTGTTGTTTTACATACTTGGTCGTCCGTCGTGCAACGTTTACGGCGAGGACAGCAGGAAGACTGGGTGCCCTTCAGCCATTACATCGAGGCTTTTATTAGGAACTGATCCCAGCTGTGTGCACGTGCCTTCTGCCTGCCTTTAAGAGATGGAGCTGAAAGGGACAGGTCGACTGAAGGGGAAACGTCTCTGAAAATAAGTGGCTCTTTGTTAAAGTTCCTGCACCCTTCTTCTCAGCACGTACCGTAAAAACAAGTCACCCTGCTACGGATTAACGAAACAGTTCCAGCGTTTCGTTTTGGCATGTTTGGGAATACAAACCTGTACTCCCTTTATTTATGGCCAAAGATCTCATTGTTTCATAGTCACATCTAAAGGATTTTAATCTGCTCTGAAATGAGTAAAGCACAGCAGACGTCAACAGTTCCTGCTGTAGTGCACCGAACGTTCTCTGCCGACTCGGCAGTTTCCTGAACAAGCTCTGGCGTTTTAAGATTGTTGACCTGAACACACATCCGCTGCATCGTTGGGTCAAATGACTCAAAGGCAACAAAACTTTAAATGAAAGATGGGATTTGATGTTTTGCACAGGTCCGATTTGGCATTAGGGACAGGATTTTGGTTTGTGCCACTCCTACAAAACACATCCGAGAGTGGAGTTGGGAGAAAAGCGACAACAAAGGGGATTCTTGTGGGTCACAAATTCATAAAAACGTCTCTCCAGAACAGTAACTGTGAAGTAGGCATAGTTTATATTGAAAATAAATTATTTTACAGCGTCATCCATGTAAGAAAAACAGGATAATCCCATTATAGTTTCAAATTTACACGCATCTATTTACAGATAACCTTTTGTTTTGTGCACGAGTGCAAACGTGGGAGGATGTGGGACACAAACCTCTGCTGAAAGATGGCATGGATGATGAAACTGCAGGGAAAAAAAGTCCAGTCGAGTATATTTAATCCAACAAGACTTACCCTGCAAACATCAACCAGGTCATACGGAGGAATAAAACGACACCAGCAAATTAAATTCATGGGGGGGGTGGAAGACGAGATGAACGTTTTTTTGTTTCAAGAGCACGGGTTTTAGGGCGAGAGTAAGGAAAAGAGCCTCGGTATGATCAGACAGGTGAGCGCGTTGGCAACCGTGCTGAGTTTGTAACAAACTAAACTTTAATAAAAAGAAGGGCTCAGGCTGCCGTTTGTCTGATGGACTGAATGTGACGTGGGATGATGCTGGGGGGGGGGGGGGGGGGAGCTGATGCTGTGGTGACGGGAGTTTTTGGATCCTGGACTTGTTTCAGTTGCTGAGGAGCAGTTCTGTCGCCGTTTCCACGTCCCAGCTTTTCGAAGACAAGGCTGCTATTACTGCGTTCTGAAAACAAACGAGAGAGGGTGATTTCACTAACGGGGCGCTCCCACGGGTACCTCGTCCTTTAGACAGGTTTGTGACGAGTAACACAAATGGCACGCTTTTATCTTCCTCTACCTTTTTATTAAATCAATTTATGACCTGATCTATTAAAAACAATGATGGAGAAAACTTGACAGTTCAATAGTTTCCATTTACCTGGTAAATAAAACACTGAAATGGTTCAGAACAGCTATGCAGGGTTTGTTTTGAAATGATGCGGAGAACATGGATACTGCTCAAGTGATGAATAAACAAACTTACAAAACCCATAAAATGACATTTCCTTGAACTGCTTTTAACACCTTTACAATTAAAGCTTGCTTTAGATCACATTTTATTATAAGTAGGAGCACTGTGTAGGTGTTTAATAGATCTTGGTCTAAAAATAGGCATGAAAACATGCATTAGAAACAAACTTTCTGCTTCATGCAGTAAAACAGACAGAGTTGCTGCGATAAAGTTCCCACTGACACTGAAAATCCCTGAGTCTGAAGCAGTGTTGCCAGATAGTTGAGGTTAAAAACCACATCACACAAAACCCCACCCAATCTATATACTGTTATACAGTATTTACTGTTTGAACATGAACACACATCGGTACAAGACAAGGTCGTTTAACACTATGTGGCAACGCAACAATCCAGCAAAAATCTGCCCAGAGTTGTTCTCTGTGAACGACTGACCCAGCCCCACAGCAACATGAGATCCAGTGAGTGTCACGTGGCCCATCACATAATGTGTTTGCAGATGGATTCATAACAACCATGTACGATTAATCTCAAATTTAACATTCCTTCTTTTGATGCCATTTTATTTTATGTGGATAACCTCAGCTCAGCTTTCTGATGTCATAAATACAATTGTAGTTACAGTAAAGTATCACAATCACTGACTGTAGTAAGTGGAGGGATGACAAGCCCTCCTTCCCCTGTTTTATGAACTAATTTAAGTCATACTATTCCTCATTAAGTAGATTAAAAAAACTGTAAAACTGCTAGAATCATCTCACAACAGATATCTATAAACTTATTGTTTTAAGTTTCTCATAGTCTTGCTCCTTTGTTTTATTTTTTTTAATCTTTCATCGTTTTGTAAAAACCTCTTATCTCGTCAAATGTAGTTATGACACCCTTCACAAGAGTTTGTATATGTATATTTTTGCAGTGTTCTGTTGTTCTATGTTCTGTTATTTAAAAAAAAAACCAAACATGTAGCCTGCTCCTCTTGTCACATTTAGAAGACACAAACTACGATAATGATGATCGATTGGTTGAAATGTGTTTTAATAGGTTAACTCAAAAACCAACGATCTGACTCCAAATCCGCCCAAATTATCCTCACCTGCCCAAAACAATTTTTACTGCAAAATCAGAATGAAAAACGCCCAATCTGGCAACACTGGTGTGAAGCTGCTTCACTACATTAACCCTGCTCTGTGTTGTAGCGGCATCTAATAAAATCTGATTCTACAAACAGACCACACCTTTCTGTACGTAAAGGTATGTCACTGAGCTGCAGCAGCTTTTCTCAAAATTGTGGGAAAATTGTCAAGAAAACATGCAAATTATCTGCCGAGGTCTCGCTGAATGCCAAGTACAACCCAGCAAGCCTTTTTTTTTATTTTTTTTTTATCACAGCTCATTTTTTATGTGTACGGTTCGTAAAACTCTTTCTTTTTGTTGCCCACATCGTAGCAACCTCAGCTTGTTTTGTTCCCTGAGGCAGCCGATCCCACAGTTATTATTTAATCTGCCCAACAAAGATGGACAAAGATTTATTTTTGTCATCCGTGTAGCTGTTAGACCTGAATGTTTCCCTCAAATGTGTTTCGTAAGAGGAGAGCTCCCCTGTAAGAGGTCAAATAAATCTCCAGCACTCTTGAGATGGGTCAAAGTCGCCCATGATGACTAATAACGTCCAGAGAAAAGACGTTCTTGAGATTTCCTCATGAATGTCGTTTCCCAACTAGCTGCAGCGCAGCGAGATGCTACCTTCAGAAATGGACCACACATAACGCTACCGGTATTTTTCTGTTTGTAAAATCTGTTCAATTTCAACCGGAAACAAAGAGGAGGCTCTGACCTTATCAAAGCCCATGGCGCAGAGTTTGTCTATTTTTCGTGTGTAGTCGGGGCTGGAGACGGGCGCGCCGGCGTAGACGTGCGACCACAGCCTCGCCGTCTGCTTGAACATTTCTGGGTTCTGCTTGTACTGAGAATCCAAAACAGAAAGTAAATGTCAGCAAAACAAAGCTCAGCATGTAGACGCTCAAGAACTTGCAGGCAAACCGTTACAAGTGAAATCTAGATTTAACTTTCTGTTGTTTCTCCCCCCCCCGCGAGCCTTTGTGAGTGAACTACAGCACAGAGCAACGTTATTGTTTTATGAAGACAGAAAATGGAAGGCTGCCTCACCTGGTTTGCCACCACTGCGTCCTGTGGATCATCTGGTTCTGCTGCAGCGAGGAGAGCTTGTAGAGACAACAGCACCGTCCGCAGGGTCATGGCAGCTGCCCTGAGTCAGATCAAACATTACAACAGGTGGGTAAACTCCCCCGAAAACAGCAGGTCACCGACTTTAGATCGTCCGCACTCACCACTGGTCTTTTAAAATGTCCAGACATATTGCTCCCGTCACTGAACTGATATTAGGATGCCAGATCTTGGTAATAAAGCGTATCTATAAAGACAGAATAATAAAAGGTTAGCAAAGCCAGAAGAGTGAGGCGATGGAAGAGAGGAAAGATTTTACAACAGGTGGCTTTGTAAATCAACAGCTATGGATTGCACTATTTTATTATTAAGGCTGCAAATCTGACCTCGTGTTTTTAAAATCAGTACCTAGCATCATGTTAGACAAACAGTGGTCACTCTCCGTTCCGGTTTTGTTTCACCTGCCGAGTCGCTGCAACCCGATGAATGTGCCTCTCTCTGCTCATCATAGGGACATTTTTACTTTGATTTTGGCACGAGAGATGTTGAGCGACATGCAATCCTTTCAAGGAATGTTAAACCTTTAGTTTTTTTTTAAAATGAACCATTAAATGAGCCAGGAAAGCATCTTTTAAAGTGCTTTATAAATAAAATGGTATGGTATCTTTTTCACAGAATCCACTTCCCGCTGGGGTCATTACCACAGATTTGTTTATGTATATTGCAGTATGTCTGATGTTTATATCAACTCAACAAGCAATAAAGGCAAAACGCACATAATGATGTGTTTTGTTTTTCCAAAGGACAGCTGAAAGACGTTCAGGAGCGTACCTTCGGTGGGTTAAATGGATACGTCTCTGGAATTTTTATTTCAAGCTGATATCGCCCACCTTGAAAAGAGAAGTAAAGCAGGACAAATCGTAACATTTAAGTGTTTTCTTAATAAATATATCTAACTCAGGTGAGTGACAATACCTTCATAAGGAGTATCTGGAGGTCCTGCTATCTCCCCCCTCAGCTCTGTGAAGTTTTCATTCACCAAATCTACTTTGATCTGGTTCTTACTCGTCTGAGGATTGGGACAAACCACAGAAACTCCATTAGTGACTCCACAATCAGCCAAACGTGAACTTTACCTGTGAAGGCTGTCTGTTTCAGGACAAACAAGGCATTTTCATGCGAAAACAAAAGGCTTGTTCCAGGTTGTTCCACTGGGACATTGGCTAGTGGAGCAAAGCAAGTTAATGTTAGCAACATATCATCCATAACTGGAGCTGACCGGCAAAAGTAAGACACTGTATCATATAAACTCCAACCAGGCGAAGTTGTTATTGGACAGACTCAAAGCACGACATGCTAATGCTAACTACGGATGAGGCGTTAAATGTCGCTTTCCTCAGCGAACTAAAAGCTGCCACTGTTAGTTTAATAAATAAAGACCCTGTCGGCAGATAGGTACTACAGCTGCTCGATGTGAGCTGGTTTTATGAGAGTAATTAAAGTATGCGATGTTGTCGGGCCTGTCGGCGAACAAAGCTCCGATCCCCGGAGTTTCCTGAACGCACCGCCCGACACAACATGAGAGCGACGAGGCTAACGCTAGCTAAAGTTCTGACTGTCCGGGCCTGACGGAACCGGGTCTTCACCGGGTGATCTGCTTCTGCCTTACCGTCGCTGTGCGTTTTAAATGCAATTTACACAAGACACATTAAAAACAGGTAGCACTGTAATAAACGCACCTCTTCGCTTTTGAGGACTTCTGTGAACTCTCGCTTGATCCTCTGGACGGCGATGTTAGCCATGGCTGAGTATCTGCTGCCTCCAAGGTAGACCCGGGGCTTCTCACCCCGTGTTGTCTGCTGGGGTGGGGGTGACTAATCTCTGGTTTTCGTTAAAGGAGCTCCTTTCGCTTTCACCGTTTACCTCTTCAGAAGGAGCACGCAGATTCAGTGAGTCCAGGACATGCTGCTGTCACAGCAGGGAGAAGCTGCTGCATGGAGAACTACCTGGAACCTGCATCAATGACATCTGCTGACTGACTCACTGAAAGACTGACTGTTTACTGGCTGACTCACTGGCTGACTGTTTACTGACTGACTCACTGGCTGACTGTTTACTGACTGACTGTTTACTGGCTGACTCACTGACTGACTGTTTACCTGACTGACTGTTTACCTGACTTACTGTTTACTGACTGACTCATTGACTGGCTGTTTACCTGACTGACTGTTTACTGACTGACTCATTTACTGACTGTTTACCTGACTGTCTCACTGACTGACTGTTTACCTGACTGTCTCACTGACTGAATGTTTACCTGACTGACTGTTTACTGACTGACTCGCTGACTGACTGTTTACCTGACTGACTGTTTACTGACTGACTCACTAACTGAATGTTTACCTGATTGTCTCACTGACTGACTGTTTACCTGACTGTCTCACTGAATGACTAACTGACTTGAGTTAAAGACTGACTGACTTG